CAGGGACGCACTCAGTCCAGCTCAGAGGTTACAATTACAGAGTTTATTGGCTCAGGTACAGCGCTGCACAAACCACATTACACAGTGCTTGGTGTCAGTTCAGGAAGTGGTTTTGCCACTTTTATATGACTTGGGACATAAAGAACCAGCTTTATTAACCCAAGCCAGCTCCATACAACTGGATATCTGAGCCACAGCACAAAACCAAGAAAATCCAGAAATGCCAGACTTGCACTGTTAACTTTATAAATCCCCATTGGAATCAGCAAGCTCCTGCTCAGGAGGATGCTTCTTGATCCAAGCTGATGCTGGACAGATGCACTCAAACACCCATGAGCAAAATTCACCTGTCACCCAGTGTGACCGTGGTCACAGGGGTTTTCAGGTGAAGGGAAGAGACGAGAATGTTGACTCCATGTTCAGAAGGCTTGATTTATTATTTTATTATATATATATACATATATATATATATATTACATTATAACTATACTAAACATAAATAGAAGGAAAAGGTTTCCTCAGAAGCTAGCTAAGCTAAGAATAGAATAGAAAAGAATGATAACAAAGCCAGCTCTGTCGGACTCTGTCCGAGATAGCTCGGTCCTTGATTGGCCATTAATTATAAACGTTCAAGATGGCCCAATGAAAAATCCACCTGTTGCATTCCACAGCAGCAGATAACCATTGTTTACATTCTTTTTCTGGGGCCTCAGCTTCCCAGAAGGGAAAATCCTAAAGAAAGGATTTTTAGTGAAAAAGATGTCTGCGACACCCAGCTCCTGAGGAGACCCCAGCATGGACAAAAGCGACAGCAGGTCCACCTGAGTGTCTCCTGGTAGAGGGCACCTCAGTATACACAAAACTGGTAAATTGTGCTGGATCCACAGTGCCAATCCAGAACCAGTAATGCGTATTTGTAACAATCATTTTCAGCATGTCCTGTGGCACTTCACCCATCTGTGTGACAGCAATTTCAAGCTACCTCAGCTTTACAATACTCTGAGCAATGAAGGGACTGAACTTCACTTACTCTTTGCAGAACATGCAAACACCTCAGTACTGGTTATGGAAATGCATACCAAGAAACAACAATTTATGTGGTGTGATACAAAGCCATCCCCATAATCTAAAATCTGCCTCTTCAAAAAGTCAAGGCAAGAAGTCTCACAGCATGTTTGGAAGACTACCAATCCAAGTGCCAGCAGAAATATAGGCATTGGCTTCCAGAGAACTGACCTGGGGGCTAGATGTAGTTCTTAAGAAGTTATAAAGAAAAGAGAAAAAGCTGACTTGCAGTGAGTCACACTCAGAAGCCCAAAAAAATGGAAAAATATGTGAAGGCCAGAAATATTTATTCACTTCTATGGAAAATAAAATACTTCTCTGTGATTCCTTGTGATTGGGATACTATTTAACAGGACTATTGATGGACATGGTTTAGCAAAGAGAATTAAATTCTTAAGCACATTAAAATCTGCTTAGATGATTTTAACGAATTATGAACTGATTAATTCTGGAGTCCCAGCCAGGTATCCAAGGTGAAAAAACAGTACAAGAACACAACTAGATGTTGCAGAATGGTGCAGGATGGGAAGCTTTAGGAAGGATGAAAGAAGTATAGCCTTGGAGGAAGAAAGAGTCCACAGGTTCCACTCTGTTTTCCTTACAGCTTCACAGCAAAGAACTGAATGCAGCAAGGTGGCAAGTGACAGATATCTGATAAACTCCAGCTGCACCAGCCTGGCCATCAGGCACCAAGGGACCTGCTGCAAAAATTGTAAGTTTAAACACTACCACAAGTCACTAAAGCACAAAGAAGCACATTTAAAATTCTGCCCTTTTGCCAGCATATCTGAAAAGAAAAACAACGGCATTAAGAAACAATGTTGACATTCAATCTGTCAATATGCCTTGGAATTATCACCCAAATAAAGGGAGCACAGGGGATTTGCTCAGGCTCAGAAGTAACAACCAAAAAAACCAGAAACACTAGAGAGTAAAATTCATGCCCTGCACATAATCATGGTGTGTGCAGAAATTCCAGTCACAGCAACCCTCTATGCAGTGGTGACAGGACTCTCACTGATAGATTAAACAAATATCAAGTTTTGCAGTAGTGAGTGAAGAAAGGATATGGTGTCATATCCATCTTAATTTGACTGTCCTTGCATACTTCCTGAGACATCAGCCTGAGGACATATTTACAGGATAGCTCTCCTCCAGACACAGCACCACATTATGGACTTTATATACACAAAATGCTGAGTGCACAATTCTGCTACACAGAGCATCATTTATTATCAGAATTCCCTGAGGAACAAAATACATCCCTGGATTAATATGAATTTATTAAAACGACCATTTATTAAAAATATCTCAACAAATGCCTCTAAAAATCTCTCACATGCCAAAGGAAAATGTTGGAAGATAACTGTTGAACAACCTCACCTCTGTAGGCAAATGGTATCAGAAACAATTTAGCTGAGCTCAAATTTAAATTGAAGAACATTATTTCTTGGTGTGGCTCCTTCTGGAGGGAGAAGTTAAGCCCCATATATGTTACAAATCCTGATTTCAACAAGCCAGTTGAACACTCCAAAGCCAGTTTTACAGATTATAGAGGACAGATACAGCACAGAAATCAAGTATTTGAGTTTCCCAGGATTATTTCCCTTTCAACATTGTGACAGTACTCCCACCACCTACAGCTGCAAGAGTTGTATTTATTTTTTTCCAAACTTAAAATATGTTCTCCTCACCATCCAATAGTGATTTAACATAGTTCTGTTTAGCATAGTACCATTTTCTATTAATACTCTAAATGCCCTAACTTTACAATATTTCATTAGAGATACAGCTTAAGATATGTTCAAATGAGCTAAATTAAACCATTATTCAAGATCTGGCACAATGTAAGGTGCCAGAAAGAGCCAGCAGGAGGGGGAACAAGATGCTGACAAAAATTCTGTCTGAGCAAATAATCATTAATTATTCTATTGAAGGCTTGAAGATATATCAGCAGAATTCTGTAGTGAGAAATGCCATTTAAAAACAAAACAAAATAAAAAACCTGCAGTATTTTTCTGACTTTTCCAATTTCTTGCTAAGGTTTTGATAAAAGTTTGATCTGATAAAATAACTTTTGCTTTTTACTAATCAGCTTTATATTAAAGCAGATTTTTTAAAAAATAGGCTTTGTCCCTTGCATGCAGAGAGATTTCACCTTAAAAAAGATATGGACCAATAACACAGACAAAGGATGTGTTAAGGGGCAAAGTCCTGATGTGACACCACAGAAGAAAATTTTGTGACAAAACATGGGAGATTTGCATATAAAGATAATTTCAAATTATCACATGACTGTGTTGTCACATTGATGGGACACTCCACAAAAGGAATCCTCAGAAGGAACTAAGGAAGGGTAAAGTCTGGACAATTTCAGAAAAATAATTTTTTATTTAAGGGGATGTGAAAAAGGTAGAGCAGCTTTCTAAACTAGCCAGCACTTTTAGATCAGTCTTGCCAGTGGAAGAGAGCAGACTGGGTTGTCTATGCAGCAACAAACAAGCAGAGATAAAAGGGGAAGAGCTACAGAGAAAGAAACCTTAGAAAGAAAATTTCAATTTTTTTTGCTCTGATGGGGAAGTTATGGTAAGAAGATAGTTCTGTGTCCATGAGACTGAACAAAAGCAAGTGGAACATCCAAGACAAGAATTAGTTGCAAGTTCATGATGCTAATAGCAATAACAGCAGTTACCATTGCTACTTGCAGGTTTTGGTGAAAAACAGCACTCAAACAAGATGGCAGAGGGAAGTGTACATGAAACTCCTGATATATGGAGTCTCTTAATGTTTCTAACTTCTTCACAGACCTTTCCCTGTTGTAGGGAAACCCTTTCCCTCCAGAGAAAGCAAATGGAAGTAGTTTCCAGGATCACAGAATGGGTAGAGCTGGAAGGGACCACAATGGGTGTCTGGTCCAAGCTCCCTGCCCAGGCAGGGTCAGCCTGGAGCTGGCACATGGCACAGGATTGTGACTGGATGGTTCCTGAATATCTCCTGCAAGGGAAACCCCACAGCCTCTCTGGGCAAGGTATGTATATTTATATATATTTATAGATATAAAACTGGTGCTTTTCTCTCATGGAATGGCATAAAACAAGAGCATGCTGAGGTCAACAAGGACTCACAAGAGTAATCAAATTAATGTAGCTCACAGGGATGTTATGGATACAACATTCAATTTTTGGATTTGTTTATGATTGAACAACAACGTAAGTTGTTTGGAAAGCAGGTGTAATTTTATATGTAATCCCCGATCGACAGCAACTGTAAAGAATGCTCGGAAGTCTTTCTGTCAAAAAGTGTCACGTTCTTCCACCGAGGCAGCCGGTGCCGAGCGTGGGCAGTGGGGGTGGATGGAGATCGGGCTGCTCGGGAAGGCCAGCAGGTCCCTCCCCACAGGGGCATCAGCCCCAGGCGCTGGTAGAAGGAACCGCAGGGCGCAGCGGCTGCCCAGGAACTCGGCCCGGCCGGGAGTGTGTGCGGGTGCTGGTGCGGGCGGGGGTCTCCCCCGGCCCGGTTGGTGCCGGTGCCGGCGCCGCCTCCCTTTTCCCGGAACGGCGGCTGCCGAGAACCGAAACCGGGACCCCACTGCGCATGCGCGCCGCCCCCGCCCGCCTCAGCCCCGCCGCCCGTTCAGCCGAGCGCGCGCCGCTTGCTACAGCCAGAGGGCGCCCGCCGGCCGCGCGGTGACGTCACCGGGCCGGCCCCGCCCAAACCCAATGAAAGAGAACGTGCGGCGCGGGACGCTCCCCGCCCGCCCCTCCCCCTGCACCGGCCAGCGGCGAGACCAATCGGAGCCCCCACGGCGCCCCGGCCACGCCCCCCTCACCGTAACGTCAGGGAACCGCCCTCGGTGGCCGAGCGGTCCAACCAATCAGGGTCCCCGCTCGCGCCCGCCCAGGCCGCGATCCCCTGTTTCCTCCCCGCCCCCTCTCTCCGTGCTCCCCCCGCTCAAAACGCCAGCGGTGGCGGCGGAGCCCGGTTCTGTGCGTGCGGGCGGCGGCGCCTCCCGGAGCTCGGCGACATGGAGTGCGCTGCGGCGGGAGCCGAGTTCAACATCCTCCTCGCCACCGACTCCTACAAGGTGGGCACGGACAGCCGCGCGGGAGAGAGGGGGTCACCTCTGCGGACACCGGACCCGCCGGTGCGCGCCGTCCGCGGGGCGCCGAGCCAGGCCGGTCCCGCCGCCACCGGCCCCTGCCCGCCTGGCCGGGGCTGGGAGATCCCCCGGGACGCCAATGAGGGTGCCCGGCCTCACCCGGGCGGTGCGGGGGGGCACAACGCAGGCCCGGCCGGGGCTGCCCCTCTTGTCCCCGGCCGCCCCGAGCCGCTGCCCGCGGGGTGCCGGGGGCCGCGCAGCCGGGGGGCGGTGGCGGGGCCAGAAAAGAAAGTGAAAGCGGGCGGGGTGGGCGCCGCCATCCCGCCGCCTCTGGGCGCGGGGGGCGGCCATGGCGGGCACGCGGGAGGGGGGGCCGCCCGGCCCCGAGCATCGTCCGGCCCCGCCGGGCTGCCCGCCCCCACCCCGGCCGGGGTCGCGGAGGGCACGCACGGCGCTGCCGCGGGGCAGCCGCTCCTTCCCTCTCCCGCGCCGCGTCCCTCCCGCTGTGCTCCGCTCCTGCCCGCGGCCGTGCGCCTGGCGGCGATGCAGCGCGCCCCGGGAACCGGCTGGCGCAAAATCCGTGTTCACCAGCCCCGTGCTTAGCTCCGGGCACTGCGGTGTCACATTGGCTCGGCAAGGTAGAGGTTAGAGCGGAGAGGCGCACGCACGGCCCTCCCTTCGTTTCCTGGAAATAGCGGGGCTGACAGCAGTGACAAAGTGCAGGCGCCCTGTCCGCGCCCCGCGCCGGAGCTCTGTGCCCCGGCAGCGCCTGCCGTGCCTCGCAGCCCGTGTGCCCGGGCCGGAGCTCCCTGCCCCGGCCGTGCCTCGCAGCCCGTGTGCCCGGGCCGGAGCTCCCTGCCCCGGCCGTGCCTCGCAGCCCGTGTGCCCGGGCCGGAGCTGCCCCTGTGCCGAGCTCATGGGAGCGCTCAGTATCCAGGCTCTGGGCACAGCCCCCGTGTGACTCCCCCGCCGGGCTGGACACGTGTGCCCGGCCTCTCCGAGGCTGCAGGGATCGCTTATTTCCTTCAGCAGCTGCGTTGCAGTGTCCACGAGGTTGTTGTAAACAAAACTACAGTAACAGTCCTGGTTGTCGTTGTAAAGTATTTATTGTGTTTTAGCTCTTTGAGCGTTGGGATGCTGAGATGAGTTTTCAGGGATGAGGGTACTTCTGGATGGAGGAATTGAGAAAGCAAAAGCTATGTTGTGACCAGGTCTTGTTACTGAGTAACTACCAAAGTACAAACCCCCATAGTTGCTGACTGGTGGTGATATTGTTATTACTATTATTTTCATTATTATTATCATTACTATAAGTTGCATCAAGACATAAAGAAAGTTAACAGCTATTGTTGGTGTTTGTGGGAAGGAGTTTTGGGAGATGCTGATAAATCTTTGAGCAGCTCAATCAGGGCATCCTGACGCTGCAACTGAGGGCTTGCAAAGCTGCCTCCATTCCGGGTGCAATCTGACTACAGTGCTCTTTATGAACCAGGTTTAAGTGTTTGTTATCTAACTTATTCAAATATGGAAGATGCACTTTTTTCCATGTCTGAGACTAATCACATTAAATACTGCAGGCCTGGGTTAAAACAGTATCTACTTCAAATGTAATTTGCACACTACTTTTTCTAATTTCTCTGGGTGTGCTCAAGGATTGGTGGCAGTTCAGCACACTGGAGTGGCATAAAACCAGTTTGCTTCTGTTGTGTTTGCTGTTTCATAGTATGACTTGGTAACATTCCAGGAGTGGTAGAAGTCTTAAAGAGGTCAAATAAAGGCCTGAGGTGTTTTTTGGGGTTTTTTCCCAGTTAAAAACCGAATTTGGATGAGGTTTTCTGTGGCAGCTTAGGAGCACTTTGTATTATATTTAGAACAGTTGCCCCCCTCAGTTGCTTTGTTAGGGCTATTCAAATTGTCTGTCTTTCCATATGCTTTTTTCCAAATCTTAGGAAATGCAGTGTCTCTGAACAATGCTTAAACAAGTAGCTGCTTTTATCTTGTTAGGTAATATGAGCAAACATCACTTATCTGCTCCCTGGATGATACTGTTGTTTCCCAATCAATGAAACTCACTTAGCGAGAGCACTTTCAGTAAAACTGCACTAAAATATCTTGTAGTTTGCAATGTCAAGCTTTTTACAGGAGTTACCAAACACTCCTATTAGCAATTAAAACAACAGTGAGAGTTGATTGGGAAATTTTTTCTTTATTTTTAATTTGGTTAGACAGTTCTGCTGTATCCACAACTGTAGCATCTGTTTGTGTATGCAGAACTGTCTGTACATAACATTTAGACTGAGAAAAAACGCGGATCAGCTCAGAAGTTTACGTGGTGGTCTAATTGCAGTAGATGCCAGTCCATACAAGTTAATGTTGGTGACAAAAATCATGTAGAAATAAACACCTATATGGTATTTAAGCCATACAGGTTTAAATGCCATAAACACCATAAGGTGTGCAGACCATAATGAGTGGTGCAACCCCAGCTTAGGCAGTTGTCCATCAATAAAAAAATTGTGGCATCTCAGAGTCATGTCTATCACAACTTGTTAGTTTGAGTACTAGGTCCGGTGTCCCAGTTCTCTGTTGCTGCATTTGGAAATTTGGGGTGATAAAACAACTCATTGCTGGTTTAGTGCCTATACAATTTCAGAAGCAAAGTAATTCAGTAGGCAGAGATTTGTCTGTTGAGAGCCTATCCAGCCTCCCCTCCTCCTCCACTACTTTCCTGTCTGCATGTGCATCATAGGACATTTCCTCTTAAACAATGGAGACTATTAAATACTCAGTTTCAAAATCTTTCAAGTGTTTTTGAAAAATGCTGAGTATCATGCTGATTGCTAGTAAAGTGAATATTCCTAGACAGGAGTAGTTCCAGTAGGTGAATATGCACTGGTTCCAGAACTGAGCTTCTCTTATAGACTGGAGCTTACTCAATTGTACAAGTGCTCCAGTGTTTGAGGCTGGGCTTCAAATGATACAGTTTATCTCTAAACCCAATAACAAGATAAATCTTTTTACATCGCTTAGATTCTTCTTCCTGTGTACTTTATTCTGTGTTCTTAAGCTTTTACAAATACCCCAAAAGTATAATTCCTCCTGTACGCTGGGAATTATATGCCATCCCCTGAGAGTCTGGGCATGGGCATTTGGTATAGTGTGTGTGCAACATGCTGATAAGTAACGGCAGTCCTTTTAATTCTTCTGATCATGAGACTCTCAGGAGATTCATCAGTGCAGTGTTATCTGGGGAACCTCAATGTCTTTATGTGCACTAGAGCAATGGCATTTCTATTAGTGAAGTTTTCTACTGGTGATTTGGTATTACTGAGAAGAGGAAGTATTTGAAGTTAAAATCCTTGTTGATAGAAAACTGCAAGTGAGGGGATATCAGCTGGCTCCTTGAAAATCGCTGTTTCTCTTGCCTGATGTCTTAGTCTTGTATGTGCAGCAAGGTACAATTTATACAGCTCCATCTATACAGCTAGCTATACATACATTATACAATATTCTGTAGCAGTCTTGTCCCTCTGAGACAGTGGGGTTCTGTTCACTCTCTGCCCTTCCCCAGTGAAAGGGTCCTTGCCCTCAGTGCCTCATTTGTCTGACATTGCTGACACACCTCCTCTGCATTTTCTTTCTCTCTGATTCCCAGTGCCCTGTTTAGCCTATATTTGTTTATTTCTGCACAGGCAAGAAATATTGCAGAGTATAGGTAGTCTGAACTGTGTTGAGAGGATCAGCTTGGCAGAGCTGTGCTGTTCAGTGGGAGGACAGCCGTGCCTGGCACAGGCCAGGCCTGGGTTGGATGGGCCATGAGCTGCTATTGACTGACCCTTGTTTGCTGCAGTAATGATAGCTTATTTTGCTTTTGCCAATTAGATCTGTTACTGTTGCTTGTCATGTTTCATAATTAAGCTGATAGTTATAATAAGCTGCCATGCAATTACCTCTTAGGAGGAGCTGACTTGCTATCTGGACTGTAAATGAGATCTGTTTCAGAATTAATTTCTTTCTGGATGCTTCAAGGAAACTCAAAATGTATGTTTTAATTCTGTATGCCTTACATGTTGAATTTTAAGTATTTGTCACTTCAGATGACTTTTTACTCTGTGTGGATGTAGGAGAGCACTGAGTTCTGAAGCCCTTCACGTGAGTGTGTGTTTATTCTAGGCTCTGACAGCCTGTGTATTCTTTATTTAGAAGACTAGAGGTATGTGAGGAAGAAACATGAGTACTCTTTAGCCTACTGGATTTGACCAGTACGTAATGACTGCAAAATACTCTGTGCAACAGCCCATATATATTTTTTTTTCTTAATTAAAATCTTGTGGTGGGAGTGTGAGTGTTATCTCCTGTAATTCTGCCAGTGCAAAGCATCGGCAGTGTCTGGCTCAGCACTCCTTGTAAGACACAGTCTTCACACTGTCTAGCTTCGTTATTTTCCAAGTTTTCATTTGCAGTCACAGGGTCCTGTTACAAACCCCAAGACACCATTGCTCAAAAGGAGCACTGCAACTGTACAGTATTCAGATAATTTTTAAATTAGTGGGAGGCAGCCCTTCTAGAACCACTGCAGCTTTCATTGGTGAAAAGTAAATGTTTTTCCGTTTTCATTAAGGAGCGGGAGACTTACCACAGTGTGTGCAGTAGTACAGCAGACTAGTGACAGATGTGTAGACAGTAAACATAAGGCATTTTGTCATCTCTTTTGTGATAGTCTGGGATGTAAAACTGCTGGCTTGATTGAGGTAGAGGTAATTTTCTTCCTAGTAGCTGGTATAAGGCTGTGTTTTGGATTTGTGCTGAAAACAATGCTGATAATTCAGGGATATTTTTGATATTGATGAGTAGTGCCTGTACAGAGTCAAGGCCTTTTCTGTCCCATACACCGTCCCACCAGCAAGGAGGAAGCTGGGAGGGGACACCAGGACAGCTGACCCCAGCTGACCCAAGGGATATTCCATACCACATGACATCATGCT